AAAAAATCTCAAAATTATAATTTTTTTATTCATTATTTCACTAACTTGTGTTGAACTGTCAACCCATTTTTGGGTTTGCGACTATCAATGGTCAACTTCGTAGCCTTGTAATTTTGAACCCAATCCTACAGTCAACTGGATCAAGCATAGAGACAAACTAACATTCGTATAGGTCTTCTTTATGAAACTAATACACACTTTCTTACACGGAGAGGAAGACCACGAAATCCTCCCACGTTAGTCTGACGACAGGGGAAATTTAACTCATGATTCTTCTACCGCTGAGGATATTTTACGTCAGAACTATGGTCGGTGAGAGCTAGGATAATTCGTACCTCTCTGGGTTTCGAATCTGGATCAGTTCATTGAAAGCGAGTGCTCTATCTTCTAAGCACCACGGCTTTTCATTAAAATTGCTTCATGAAGTTAGGGCTAAAACAGTATATCCATCCATATGAAGATAGAGAATACTTTATGTTATGCCCAACATAGTTTGAATTCCTATTAATGGTTTGAGTTTTCATCTGCAAAAATTATTTAGAAATGCACTTCATGTATCGATCTTGATTTGCGGGAATCATTCCCTATTTTGAAAAATTCCATAATTTAGTTCAAGATATTTCTAGTTTTCCATCGTTTCCCAATGTTAGGAAAATCTGCTACAATTTTGTTTTTAAATCTTGTATCTTGTTTTTTCCCTACTTTTAATGCTTTGTACAAAATTGTTTCTTTTCCCTTATTGGCTCAAGCACCCAGCTGTTGGTTTTCTGGTTACTTCTTTTCCGTTATTTTATGTTTAAACACTGAAGAATGTTCTTGTTTGAACTACAGTACGTTTATTTCTATACTTTTTTGTGCTATATTCACGCGGTTTTGCTTTATTCACCATATATCTATTGTTTAAGGTTGTTTAATGGTTAATAATAAATGCATTGCTTCGGAAGAAGGGAAAATAACTTACAATAGTAACAACATAATTTATGAAGGTTCTATTTGAGTAGCAAACCAACCTTTCTTGTTATAAAAGATGAGTTAACCTCATTTTCTCGTTCGTACAAATCATTTCTAAAATGTTTGAAAACTGGTGCACTTTCTGATTTTCGTCTTTTATGAACAAACAGCACTCCAAATAGGCACAAAAAGGAATTTCCTTCATTTATTTAATTTAAAGGCCTTGCATTCTATATTGAACAAAAACACAAAGTTGCTTTTTAAATTTGTTTCATTAATCTCTTAAGGATATTTTATTGAGCATTATTCATATTAAAAGTGGTTTAAATCTGTACTAATAAAATATTAATTTGCTAATTTTAAAATATGGCAAGTAGCATTTTAGAACATTAGAAGCAGAAGAAACCCAACTTCAACGCATAAACAGAACATGAGGCTTTTATTTTTATTATTCAAAAGCTTGAAGAAGAATTCAACACTTTTAAGTTTATTGCTAACCATAGCAATAAGAATGTCAAAAATGTTTCTTTTTAAATATTACTTAACATGTTATTTCTTTTAGCTTTTTTAATTATTTCATACAGATTGATAGTTTGCCAAATAAATTTTTTTCTCGCAATGATTAACAGTTTGCAGATCATGATATTGACATTAACTTGACCACAAACATTTTCATGCAAATCACTATAAGTTCAGAATAATATGGTATAACATAAAGTTCACAATTATTTAAAAAAGCTTGTGAGTACATAAAAGCATAGAATATGATTTTCCAAGTAATGAAATTGTTTGAGAATAATAGTATCAATAGTATCTTAAAGTATCAATAATAATGTTGTTACAAACTGTGTAAAAAAATGTAGCGGATTTTATCGAATCCCCCAAAAAATCTACTTGACTTAATGAAAGAGAATTGCAAATAAATATTTATTTTAGGACGTCTCTCTTATGCTCTTTTCATTATGAAATAAAACATAATATTTTAATATTACATTTTTTAAAAATATTTCACAGTTCAGAATATAATCGTTGAAATAACCAATGACGCCTATTTTCTAATGCTTTTACTCTTTAATTCCCAAATAAAAAGTGTTAAATATTTACTTGTAATCGTCTTAAACAGTGCATTAAATTATTTAATACTGTATTGAATGTCCGAAATTAAGCTGAAAAATTACGTTATCTATCTATATTAAATTATGAAAATAGAATTAAGTAAAAATTAAAAACAAAATTTAATTTAAAACCAATGAGTCAAAATGGAAAATCATTAAAAAACAGCTAAAACCAAAATTGTCTTAATTAAACTATATAAAAAAATGGGAGAATTTAAATACTACCAAAACGAAATCTAAAGATGCGCGTTTTAGCGAAAACGGCACTCTATACATTTTTGAAGACGTAACTGAGACATTTCGAAGAATAATTTCGAAGAAACGGCATCAAGAGACTATACATGCGTATCTTCAGATTTCGTTTTGCTTGTATTAAAATTCTAGCATTTTTATTTGTATTATCTATCTATAAGTATTTTGATAACTGTTATTGAGGGAGAAAATGAAATGTATTCATAGACTACAGTTTGTTGAACCCCCACAATCTAAAGATCTTCAAGACATGACACGAAATGTCTCAGTTATCAAATAGTTATCAAACAATGACAGTCCGCGCATAATAGCTAGTCGTGTTTGTTTTCACTTTGATATGATAAAACAAGTTACTTCACCAATTTTAGACAGGTGTTTCACCCCTTTATTCGGCTGTCCAACTCATTCAACAGATTATCGATAGGATTCATATCTGGAACCAGGGCTGGTTGGTCAATTTGGTCACCAAACCCATCCAATCGAGCAGCTGTAGCTCAGGGGGTAGAGCTTTCGCCTCCCAATAAAGTGAACCAGATTCGAATCCCAGTGGTGTCTGGTTGATACGAATTATGCTCCTGGCTCGCACCTACCTCAGCCAACACCTCCTAGAAGAACGAAGGCCTCAGCACGGATCAATTTAGTAGTCCGACGCGACGAACATAAACTGCGCAGTCGATGAAAAAGAAGAAAGATGTCACTACGCTTGGACTACTAAGTAGCGCAGTGGTGGAAAATACGAAAGATGCCATTACGTTTGGACTACTAAAGGATCCAATTTCTTGTTTATGGTAACCCGTGCTAAGGCCTTCTCTTTTCTAGGAGGTCTTGCCACAGCGCTACCGTAAAATGATGAATTTATGGCAATATATTGATGATTTATACTACTGATTTGCATGATGAATTAATTGCTAAATTAACTGGAATATTAAATAATACATCAGCTTAGAGCTTAATTATTAAATGAATATCTCAATAAAATTAAAAACTGCTCATAAATAAATAAATAAAACATCTCATAATTCAATGCAGTGCAAATACAAGAAAACTGTAATAAATTAAATTTAATAAAGGCTAAAATAAAATCTGTACCAACTTTTGAATGAAAAATTAAGTTTTATAAGTCTTAATTTTTCGCTGACTTATTTCATTATTTCTGTGAGGGATCTAAATCTGTGTTGAGAAGAGAAGGGAGAATGAACAACTCAATAAATATCTCTCGCTACTCGTATGAATCCGTAAGCAATGCGAGACCAGCCGACCATGAACTTCCATCCTTCTCTCTCGCCAAGGGTTGTTCATCTTCATTTTTTTCAAACTTTCCCCTTGCGCCCACTAAATCTATTTTGGCTGCACTCAATGGCTTAGTTTTGGCGCTATTTTTCTTTTATTCAAATGTGTTGATATAATAGGTAGATGACACATATTTTTACCAGGAAAATATATCATTAAGTGATTATGAAATGATGTAAATAAAAGATCAAAATGTTTAAGTCTTGAAAAATTAAAGATTTTTTTTAAAACTACAACTTTTTTTCAAGTTTCAATCCATGATTTAAAATGAAATAAATGAAGAAAAAAAAAGAATTCTCTAAATTTATGATGCCCATGGTGTGAACTGCGTACTAAATTTTATTTAATTTTTTTACATTTATTATTTTTGTTACTAATAGTGATAAGTTTGTTGTTCTTAAAATTTAATTTAATACCAGGTAATGTTTAAAATAAATTCATTTTTTCCTTGCTTAAAAATTGATAGATTTTTCATCGCGCTATAAATTATTCGACCTAATTTTATTTTGGTATAATATTTATAACTTCATACTTCTAATTGCAACAATGCTTAGGAGAGTTAAAAATATATCGTACAAATCTCGATATTTTAAAGAAGTTTAATAGTATCTCATTGTATTCGTTAAGCAATTTTTGGTAAAAAAAAAATGTTAAAAAGGAATTTTTCTTCGGTCTAACATTTTTTTAAGAATATTTTGTCGAAAAGCGAAATTTATATTTTAATTTGGCATTTATTCTTTTACAACTACATAGAAAAAGAAGCATTTTAAAAGAGCTTGGAAGCTTTATTTATTACTGGCTCCGCACACCGGTTTCCTTAATTGCTACTTATTCGTCATTGAAAATATCTACCTTTCTCTACTCTCTAAGAATTACTAATTCTTCTACATACTCTTTTCCATTAATTTTTCACTTTCTTTCTTCTACCTTTTTGTTACTGTCGATAGAAACTTAAGCACAGACCTTTAAAATAAAAATTTCAAGAGAAAGAAATTTTGCTGCAATAATGAATAAATAGTCATTATCTGAAGTAGAAGAAGTAAGAAAATATTTTTGAAAAAAAAAACACTTAAAAATTGCAATAATTTTCAAATAAATTAGATTTTTTTGAAAAAAATCGTGTAATCATGCGAAATAATGAAAAAGTTTATGAATAAAAAATGGCCTTGTTAGCAAGTGAAATTACTATTCTATAGTTGCAACAAATTTAATAGCAATAATTATCGTACTAATATGCGAATGTTAAATTTATTTATTTCATCGTAATTCTTGTACATTTTTCTACGCACCTTCATAATCTTAAACTTCTTTGTGTTTGCTTCTCAAAACAAAATATAACGAAAAGTTGAACACTCAAAAGCAACAGCGGTGGCGTCACTTTTTAATCTAGAAGAACTATTAAAATGCATTTGGATTATTAATTGGGTAAAATTCAATTTAAAATAGTCTATGAAACACTCGGTATATCTTTAACCGGAATTTAGTGCTAAGTTTCTCCTTATCCCAAAGTAATGAAAAATCATTTTATTTTAGTTACACCATAAATTATGATGTTTGATCAAGAAATACTACCAACGGCACCAAAATTTGGTAAAAGACACAAAACTTTGATGATGACGATGACTCTAAACTGAACGATATTAGTTTACAACGCCATGTTTTCCTCACAGCTCAGTGTATCGGGGAGATTAATGCATGTTGTTTCAAGTATCAACTTATTCAGGTATGTAAATGTCTTATTTGCATTAATTAAAGTTCATTTCTTTTATGCTGCCTTTTTAAATTTAGTTGGTGGTATAAAATGGTTCGAGGTATGTCATAAAATAACCTACTTACTAAAAATAGTTTTGTTACGTTAAATCTCAACCTTGGTCTGCATTTGAGCGCTTTAAAAATACCTAATATAGGTGCAACCTTTTTCTGCTTTTATAAGAGAAAATTTGTGTTTTGTTTCTTCAAAAAACACCTACTATTGGTGCAACCTTTTACTGATATTTGAAGCTAAGGAAAATACCAAAATATGGTAAAATTGAGCTCTATTTCATGTAGCCAGCAAATGAAGACCAATTTTTGGTACAACGTGTTTCGGCATTTTTAACAGTATATGTCCATAAAATAGGTTTTAAAATATGATTTGAATATTTGTTAAGCGATAAGCCTTCCTTTTTGGCGTGCTTCTGTCGCCTTCTCTTCTGAAAATGTCTAAAAGCGGATTTTGTTCTCCTCTTCCTCACTAATCCTGACATCAGAAAAGGGCAGCTGGCTTTTTTCACTCGATCTTACACTTTTCAAGCTGCCTTTTCTCAAGCTGCTTACACATGCTACGCTTCATATATTCATGGTAGATAGATATTTGTCGCGGTAAAGAAGCAGAAGTGAAAAAAAGGATAATTTTAGTGTAAAAATATATCAATACTTTGCTTACAGGGACTAGCACGACGTATTAGGCTTTTTGATTTTACGTTATACTTAAACTTCTCTGAATGAAAATGTCAAAATTACTTTTTAAACACTTATTTTTTATCAATAAAGGGCTTAAGAATGTTTTTCGAAGGTTCTGTTGTAATATGAAATGATGCTCTTTTGCGAATATTATGTCATTTTTAAACTGCTGTGAGCTTGCAACTATTACCAATGACTGTTAGGCGGGGCCTGAACTAGCAATTAGGTTAGGGGCCCTAGGCACAAAACTGTCAGGGGCCCCTGTTCGTTACTTTAAATGAAATTTACCTACAGTTTACCTATTGTTTAATTATGAAGTGTTATAAAATTGTTTACAACAAAAGTAAATTACGATTTATAATTCTAATTGACAATTCTTAAGGTAAAACACAAAAAGAAATCATTTGTAGCATTTAAAAGGCCCCAAGAAGAGGGGGGGGTCTGGACCTGGGCCTCTCAGGCCTTATGATAAATCAAGCACTGCTCTTGGTCAAGTTTAACTTATCTAAAGCAAAGCACAGTCTACGCATATTTGGAAAATGGTGAAACGTCAATATGGGAAAGGCGTTTATGGTCCAATTTTTTAATAATTAAAAACTTACTCTAATGCTGCATTGCCTGAACTCATAAAAATATTCAAAAACTGAGAATGAGGCAGTGATTTTGATAATTTTCATCTAGGTGGAAAAATGTCTCCAACATTGGTGATTTCTAAAAAATTTAATAACTTTCGAAATATTTAAATTATTCGTCTGTTATAATGTCCAAATAATTCTTCACGGCAAGATTATAAATATAATTTGAAATCATCGCATTACTATTCTAAAATTTTTTATCGATAGGTGCCTTAAATCGAAAAGAGGCATAAGTAGTCCTGATGACGGTAATAAACTTCGCTTTTTCAAAATTTTATTTTGTGTTGTAAGCAATGACTTTTATACATGCTCTGTCTTTCTTGCTTATAATTTGATTCTTCTTGCGTTAGAGTTCGAAAGTTTTTGAAAACCGTTTAAGCAGTTCATGAAAAAAATAAATAAAAACTTAATATGTATTGGGTAGGAATATTTGATTCATCTCACGAAGCACAATTGGTTAAGAAAAAAGAAAATGTTAAATTATCTAAAGAAAAACTACTGAAAAACTACTGAGAAACTAAATTTATTTTATTTAAATTTTAATAAAAAATATATTTAAAAATTAAATAATGAATGCTGCATTATAATGTTCCCTTTATTTTCATCTATGTTTTTACATCTTTAAGAATTTTAAACTTCGTAGTTTAATAAATAAAAAAACAACAACAAAAAATTACTCTAAATTACTTTAAATTAAATTAATCTATAAAACCACTATCGAAAATTTGACTTCAATAGTAAAGCAAATATACATTAAGCATTAACTCTTCAAGTCCGAGGCGCAGTTTTCAAAAAAATAATTATTAATAAAATTTATAGGAATAAATAATACTTTTTTTTAGGTTGAAAGTCTTAAAAATAATTAATAAATTTTTCCAAAAAATTTTCTGCTATGTTTATGAAAGTAAAAATTACATCAGAAATTTAACCATAATGGTAATGCAAATATACATTAACCATTAACAAATCAAATTAAAGACGAAATTTTTGCTTTTTGGGAATAAATTTCTTAAAATTAGAATAAAAATATAAAAGCCAAATGCCACGGGAAAATCCAAGAAAAACAACATTTTCAATACTTTATATACTTAGCCTGTTTAGAAATCGTAAACAAAATAATTAATTAATAAGCAAACAAATTTACTATATTCTTATGAATATTGATAAAACTACTTTAAAATCGGATTTGAGCTTAATAAAAGGATGGCAACCTTTATTAAAATCTACTTTATACTACTTTATACTATCAACCTACTTTATACGTGGATTTATTGATGAAATGTCCAAAAATTAAGTATTCAAAAATTAACTTATTTTTAAATATTATTCCTAAAAATAATTACTACGAGCTGAAACAAATATGTCCCTAAAAAGGGACACTAAGAATTAATGTAAATATTAAGAAAAAGGTGCTTAGATTAGATAATATTCAGTTAATATGTGCGCTTTAATTCGTTAAAGTAAAACCAGGTTATTAGAACTTTAGTTAAATATCCAATAATAACTCTAAATATTTTGTTTGTAATTTAATTATAAAAGGACGATTTATGTAAAAACGTGTAAACAATCCGGCAATCTCTGAGTTTTCAATTAATTTATATGCTTAAGGTCAATGCCCTGCTCATTGAAACAGTTGTTTTCTTTTGCTTGAGGTCAAAGTTAATTCCAGTAAACAGCAAACGGGTGTTACCAATACAAACGTCTGGATGACAACGACAGCAACACAGTGATAAAATAGCTATGATGCAACTAGATTGCCTCTTCTTAACTTATTGTCATGAATTTAATGCTTATAGCAATAAGAATTTTTAGGAGATAAGCAATTACATTACATCGTGCTTACATTCAATGTAGTGCTATGGAAAATATAGTAGATAAGCAAAAATGATGGTAAATGGGTTCTGCAATATTTACATTAATGTTGGTTTCAACCGTGGGAAATAAAATAAGTAAATTAATAAAACATAATTAATTAATACTAATCTTTTTGACATTGCGGTCATTTTTAGTGCAAATGCCATACATAATTATTAAAACAGTTATGGGCCTAGAGAAAGAAAAAAATTCCGGTAAAATTACCGTACTGTATGATAATGACATTTCTGGTAAAAAAAAATGATTCTGTTAATAAACCCAAAATATGCTGTATTTAAACCATTTATATAGTAAACTTTTTCTGTTCGTATGTTAACGGTTAGCCGGAAATTCTGGTGCTCAAAATTACAGTTCTTATTAACACACATTTAGTAAAAATGCAAAACTGAAAGTAAATTTAATAGAATAAATAATTTTTATGCCATGTACTGAAGTATCATGGTAAAATTACCAAATTTTGCAACATCTGCTAAATTTTATCATATACCGTAAAACTATATTTTATTGCTAATTTTACCAAAATCCTGACAGAAGCTCTTCGGTAAGAACTACCGAGCTTTTTGGTGTTTCCAAAGAGCCAGAAGCACGGTCAATTTTACCATATTCTAGTAGTTTCGAACATACATATTTTCGAAAAGTAGAATTCCAAAGTCATTAGCATCAAACTGTGTTTTCAAAAATATTTCTGATAATACTGTTAGAAAGTGGAATATGGATCGAACTACACAAAAATAATTTTCGGAAACAATACTCAACAATTAGTTGGAATTTATGAAAAACGAATATGTTGTGAAATGAATATGTTCTAAGTGTGTGGTATTAAGAATTATAATTTTGTAAACCGGAATTAAAATTTTGGGAATAATTTTTATATGAACGGAAAAATCAGCAAATAAATATCGTAAATTTACATACCGTATATTTTGACTTTATTAATCTGAAATATGGTTTTTTCCCCCAGAAATTCAGTAACCCTACTGTACTGTAATTTCAACAGGAAATTTTTTTCGTGCTTATTCTTAATTAACTTTTGAATTCCATATGATTTCTAGTACTTTAGCCCGATACCCATGCCGAAAAAACGTCAATTTACTTCAGAAAATAGCTTTGAAAACCTTATACAAGAAACCTGGAGAACTTATGTCTATAGTGACATCATTTTAAAATAAAACGATCTATCATACCAAAGCTAATAAATCAAGTTTCCATCCCTTTGTGCTATGGATATCATACAATTCTAGTCAGAGTTTCCATTTCATTTTTATCACAACTTCAACAGAGTTGAAAAATTCTATTAAAAAACAGAATCTTACAAACACCCTATGAAAAACCTCGTTACTTAATGAGGCGTATATATCGGTACGCGGGAGGTTTTTCCCTTTTACACATTTCAAAAAGCTTAATGACTCAAAGATAAAAGCATCTGTCCCGTTTTGCGGTGCACCATTTTGATAAATTTTACAACGCAGTAGAAAATACGGGTAGATTTGCTTAGGATATATTTTGAATTGGCTCAGGAAAATGGTGAATTGTACACTGATTAAAGGCAGGAGTTAAAATTGTTTTCGCTGTTAGAACTTTTAAAACACGACGAAGCATGTCATTAAATGAACCTGCTGTCACATTAAAACTCTGTTACATTGAATCTGTATTTTCGTGAACTTTTATCGTTTTTTAAACTTTCGAAGGTTTAACTTGCTCAGAAATGCTCAGAAATTGTATTTCAAAGCGAAATACAGCTCAATGATACAGCTACATAAATAAATACAGA